TGTGTCGAAGAGGATAAAGTAGCAACATTTTATTTGAGTTTGGGAAGGAGAAAAGTATTTCGTTACATGAAAGGAGGCGAATGGGAACCGATTGAAGATATAAAGATATACCTATCACCTGATACTCTTGTATACGCCGAATTAGTATATGAAGCAAAACGGACGGGAAAATACTTCTCCAAGACACGTGCATTGCATATTTTGGATGCTTACATGCTTGGTGGAGTAGATGTTAGCAAACGATACTTAGATGATAGGTAACAAATATGTTATATTATGTTTTATCAAACATAATATAAAATTCTGAGCTGTCAATAATATGTTCTAAGCTGTTAATATATTAATAGTTACTTATAAATTGAATATAAATCAAATTAAAATTATAATATGTTATAGTTTCTCTGTAGCATATTTTTATGTATGAATCTATCAATATTGCACAGTCTATAGTCTTTATAAATTAAATTGGAGTAGATATTTATATTGATTTAAACTTAAAAAGATAAATACTAAAGTTTTATAAAATGTAGTTACTATAAAGAGAAATTCTATTATGAATAAATTGTCATTGTACTAATAGCTAACATTTTTATGCTATATCTGTCGTAGGTATAAACTAACTAAGCTATTTTGCGAATCACTGCAGAAATCAGTTCCAAATGACTACATATGTGTGCGCGCCAAGGAGAGGTTTATGCTGAATCCTGATATAGGGAAGAATTTGCGTGTCGCGCAACGTCGTGTGGAAATGCCCATTGCGTTCGAGTCGCGAGAGAGTCTCTTGGAACGTGACGACAAAAACGATAAAGAACCCATATATTTCGCATATAACAGCGTACTTTTCTTAAAAAGCATCACTCAGCCTTGGTCACGTCATATTAGCAAAAAAACAGATGAATTTTATGTCTATAATTCGATTACCAAAGTAGCGGAATACGAAATCCGAAACAATCAACATAATAGACCACCCGAAGCCGAAGCTGATTTTAAAGAGGCATTCGAGAAACGTATTATCTGGGATTGGCCTGGCAGTCAAAACTTAGCATTGAATATGGACACTTTAGTTGCGATGATAAATTCATCACAAAATGTCTGAATCATGTGTATTATATTATACATATCGTAAATAATTATGTCAAAGTTTTCTTAAGTTCTTGGATTTTCGTTAAAACATATTACTTTTGATTATAGAGAATTTATCATAGTTTTATTTAATAGTTAATATCTCAAAAACTATTAAAATAAGAAAGTGTATTAAAAAATATTATATTATTATATTTGCAATTCAATAAAAATATGCTGTTGAAAAAAAATAAAGATTTTCAATTACCAATATTATAATTACTCAAAAAAACAAATGTGATCATACATAAATTATAACATGTTAATTTATTATAAACAATCTCAATACATTACATACAATTATTTTTTAATATGTTTATATATATATTTATATTTACATTATGTGTATAAATATCACTCTGCACATACATTCACACATATCTTTTTCACACTCAGTTTTTAAATTTATCCTGCTGGCAATAGCTTAACATTGAATATGGACACTTTAGTTGCGATGATAAATTCATCACAAAATGTCTGAATCATGTGTATTATATTATACATATCGTAAATAATTATGTCAAAGTTTTCTTAAGTTCTTGGATTTTCGTTAAAACATATTACTTTTGATTATAGAGAATTTATCATAGTTTTATTTAATAGTTAATATCTCAAAAACTATTAAAATAAGAAAGTGTATTAAAAAATATTATATTATTATATTTGCAATTCAATAAAAATATGCTGTTGAAAAAAAATAAAGATTTTCAATGACCAACATTATAATTACTCAAAAAAACAAATGTAATTATACATAAATTATAACATGTTAATTTATTATAAACAATCTCAATACATTATATACAACTATTTTTTAATATGTTTATATATATATTTATATTTACATTATGTGTATAAATATCACTCTGCACATACATTCACACATATCTTTTTCACACTCAGTTTTTAAATTTATCCTGTTTATAGTAGAAGTGTGACCACATTTCAAAATATGTAAACAAAAAAAAGTTTTTATATATATCTCGAGGTTAAAACAAATATAAATAACTACACATTTTCTTTTAAATATGTGCTTGTATATACACAGTTTGAAATGAGACTTTAATGTTATCACGTTTTTATCACTCAAGTATTACTCATGATTAATATTATGCCTTTGTAAAACGTATCTAATATAGCAATGATATTATATATAGAGTTAATTTGTTACATATGCTACAAAAAGTTTGTCTAAAGATTCATTATTATAAAAGAATAAAATTCGTCTTTAAATTATTTAAGAGACAGATAATTTCTTCTTGTCAGGCATATTTGAAAGAAAATAATTGGTTTAACATATTTTCATAATTCAAAGACATAATGACTTTTTCCAATCTGTTTATACGTTTGTTTTTCGATGTAATGTATAAATTTTTATAAACGCCAGCAATAAACTGTCTTTTTTTAGTCTTGTATCACATTAAATATAATTATCTCGAAGCTCTTGTTCTTTAAGTTTAAAATAAAAATAATTCTACTCCATACCTTTAAAGGTACAATGGAAGATACATTAACATGCAAATTATTTCAACTTAATTATTTTTGGCAGTTACATAATTTGAACTATTACAATACTATTGTAGCAACAATATATGTTTTCAACAACTAGTAATCCTTGGTAACAAAAGTTGTGCTAAGATACTTTATAGTCTTTGCTCTTCCCAAACTTTAGATGAATTTAGATATTCGTTGGTATTATAAGTTGATCATGGATTAATATTTATCCCTAACTTTACATCTGCACGAATCTATTCAACAATAAAATCAAATAGATAGAATTCTGTGGCTAATTAAATCCTTTATGAAAGTGAATCGATATATGGCACTTTAATGCGCGTATAGTTTTAAAATCCAAAAAAGAAAAATAAGCATATACACAACACATGTGTATGGAACATGATAAATCACAAAATGTATCATCTGTGATAAGAAAGAATGGTAGTCGCCCATAGGAGACGCTGCCAGATCCAACGCGGTACCCTGCATGGTACAAAGTTGGTCATCGCGCCGGCCAAGTGGCGCACCCAATCCCAGATGCCCCATGGTGCATGTCCGCCGTTAACATAAAGAACATACGTAAAACCATCCTTACACTTTCCCCGTATCGAATAGTAATATGGAAGAAAACTGTGCAACCGAAAGTGACACCTCTGATAAAACAATATAGCAGGAGCATTGCTGGAGAGCACATGTAGGAAGACTGCCTTTACAGAGGAACGTTCAGGAGCGGTGACATGGGCCAACAGCTGTTCCAACAGCAACGAAGCTATTCCATTTCTCCTATATGCGCGTCGTACCCCTAAGCTAAGTATATAACCTACTAGACAATTTTTTCCTAGACTGGAACACAAGATACCGCGATCTTCTTTGTTTAATCTCGCATAAGGCTTTATCTCTGCAACAATTAGCCCTATTATTACTCCACCATATACCGCTGCAAGCGCGTAGAACCTTGATGAGCTTGTAATGTCTTCATACCATGAATAAGGATAATCTGGACAGATAGAAATTAAAAATTAGTTGCATTCAAAATAATATTTTATATTATACTTATTATTGCAAATTTCCTGTGGTATATATATTACTTGATATCTGAAAAAAATATCATTTAACATCTTTTTAGTAAAAAGCATTTTACATTTTTATTAACTGTTATAGATAATATAATCCTAAAATTTAATAAAACCATATATATATATTCCAATAATAAAAAATTTTTAAAATATCAATATAAAAAAACAATTTATATATATTCTATTTGTATTCTTTTTAACATCTGAAAATTTAAAAGAAGAATTTGACATATATATAGTATTGTGTGTCATTATTTTAATTTCAAATTCTTCTTTTTTTATGGTTATCTATTCCTATGAAATATAGAATCATTTCTTCATCTTCCTATTTTTCTTCTCTCCCAAATATTTACATTTCTATTTTTTAATTAGTTGGAGAAGATTTCATAAAAGAAGGATAAAGAGAATTTAAATGAAGCTATTATAAGAAAATATTTTTTTCAATCCTGTATTGCATTTACATATTAGACAAGATCGTTTGGTACCAGGTGTGTGTGTGGTGGGCTCACCTATGGGAAACCAATCTTGACAGAGCGAGCGCACCTCCTCCAGATCATCGGGACAGAGGAAGCGCAGCTGCACCTCGCCCAGGACGCATAGCGGCACTGTGACCGCCGGCGTCGTCACGGAAGCTGCCGCTGTCGTTGTCGTAGTCGTAGTTGTCGGACAACCGCTACAGATGGTGGTCGAACTGTCCCTCGCGACGGTCTCATCCGTGACGTAGGAAGCACGTTGCTTGCCGTCGAGCGGCTCGACCCTGGCGACACGACCCAACTCGCTGTCCTCGATCTCCGGCAGGATTACCGGTAAATATCGGTTAAAGGACACGACCATCGCGCGACCGCGGCTGGCCTGTTCTCGTCTCACGGCTTATCATTTGTGTATATCGTTTGCGGGCCAACGCGGTAATAGAATCGAGAGGTACGTCACGTCGTCGCGCATTGACAACAACCGCCGCCGCTCGTAAACACGCAGCAGCGGCACGTCGTAGACATTTTGTTTTCGCGTATCGTTCTAGGTTCGTTGTTATTGTTGTCGCGATTCACGCGAACCCGCACTTGACGCTGCCACTGCGACTAGATCTCGCGCATCTGCTGTTTCCTGTCGCGCGCAGTGTAAACGACCCTGCGTCCATCGCTGCGTGCAAACCGTCAACAACAGCTCCGATAACCGGATTGTACCCCATAATAATCTCGTGATAAATAATATATGCATGATGTAAGAAAATATTTTCTTGCATCATATGGATATATATGATTTTTCCACCGAAAATCAACACCACAGATTTCTATATAACCCAGACAGCACAAAACATATCCTCAGGATCATTCTGAATATGTCCAGGATAGTTCAGGACATTTGTAGGATGTTTTAAGATATTATAAATATATTTTATAAAAATTTAATATGCATACATGGTTACTTTCAGTTATGTAGGCTATTTAATATAATTTAGAAATCTTAAGTATTATAATAAGTATTAATGTCCTATAAATGTCCACTGGATAAC